TTCACAATTCTCGTATGCCGATCCCATGATTCTAGAGGAGTTAAAGGAAAAAGATCAGCGGATTGGTGCCTTGGAGGAGCAGAACGCCACAATCCTATCTCAGCTGGCGGATCAAAAGCAAACGAACCTCGACATATTGGCGAGGCTAGATCGTTTGTTTCCTTCGGGTTCTTAGTTGTCTTTTTGTGTGTTTAAAACTCTCTTAGATCCCATGATTTAAAACTTTTTTGTTGTGTAAACTTAAATTCTATAATATTATAAGTTTTTAATTTTAAATTACATTTATTTACGAATTTAAAACAAAAATTTTAAAATGAAAAATTAATATAAATTATTTTTTAAAAAAAATTAAATCAAACTTACCGACGACAAAGGTCGTCGGAATAAACCGATGAGCAATGTCGTCGGAATATTCCGACGACCATATCCGTCGGAATATTCCGACGACCATATCCGTCGGTATATTCCGACGACCTATATCGTCGGAATATACCGACGAACTACGTCGTCGGTATATTCCGACGGATATTCCGACGACATATTTCGTCGGAATATACCGATGACATTGTTCGTCGGAATAAACCGATGGATTTCTCTCGACATATACCGATGGATTTCTGATGACGGTGTCCGTCGAAGTGTCGTCGGTAGTTCGTCAGAATTACAGTCTCTCGGAATTCGTCGGAAATTGTCACGGATTTCCGACGAAATTTTTTTTTCCGACAAAATGATACCGACGAACAACTTCATCACGGTTTCTTCGGAATATGCCTATTCTGACGGATTTCCGACGGTTTTGGCCATCGGTATCCTGCTGTTTTCTTGTAGTGTTCATGCGAGAGTGTTTGTTACTCTGATATGTGAATGTTAAATTATTTTCTACTTATATTTTTGTTTTGTGATTAGGGGGTTCAAGATTGAAGAAGCGAGAGAAGTAAAACTTAAGAAGTAAAATTTACTTTGTAATATTTCTTTGCCACAGAACTTTACTGTATAGATTAAAAATTTCAAATCCATTTATCTCAGTTCATTTTATATGTACAATCTACTTACTCAACTATCAAGATTATATGTATGTTTGGTTACTATATATATTACTCAACTATCTCTATTATCTTACATTCAGTCAATTCATTAGTGAAGATCCAATAATGACTATAGTTATATTGGCTTTATTAGGTTTTAGTGGGGGAAAAGCATAGAAGTAACTTAAAACGATAAACCTACCAAGTTATATATACCTGAAGAAAAGCAACTAGCTACAAGTATATTTCTGAACCAAACCTAAACTAAACTAAATAGGTTATGACAAAAACTCAAGCATATTATTACAATCTTATTTGGCCGAACGTATATGTTGTTACATTTTTGTATTCATATTTGGTCATGAATAAAAAAAATTTGGGAATCGACCCAACAAACAGGTAAGATGTCACATCTGAAGTCACCGGTGATTTACTTACGTTCGTCTATTGTTCTTTTGTGCCGAAAAATATTGATGCTTTTAGGATGAGATAATATAGGATTTATGCTTTCCACCATCTTTAATCTTTCTTGCAGGTGAACCGACCAAATAGACAGACCACGATATTTACATATTCTTTCGATATATATATCTTTATTTTTATCGCAACTTTTGGTTTATGTTTTGAAAATTGAAAATGCTATTCTGGTTCATATTGATGGCCTCAGTTAAGATGAAATTGTCCTGCCCGACCAGCCACATTTCAGATAGACTACTTTTGTAATTCGCAAAAGATAATTACGATATAGTATGAAAATACATACCACTATTATTTACATATGAGCATTTATAAATTGAAATGATGTAATGCACGGTAACTAATAAATACATTATCTCGAAAGAATTATAGAGAAGAAAAAAACTAAGGTCGTTAATATACATCACCGGCTTATGATATCTAAATAGGATGCATATAGATGTTAGCATATGAAACATAGTCATGGGATAAAACGAAAGAAAACAACAGTATTGTAAGTATGTAACAAAATATCTACAAGTAAAAAAACGCATTATACATTGGTTGGTCCATCAGCTGGATCATCAGAATATAAGATGATCTAATGGACCATTACTTACAATTTTGTATATGAACATTTATAAATTGAAATGATGTTAATGCAGGGTAACTAACAAATACATTATCTCGAGAGAATAAAAGAGAATAAAAAAAAAACTAAGGCCGTTAATTATATACATCACCGCGCTATCTAAATAGGGTGCATATAGATGTTAGCATATGAAACATAGTCATGGGATTTTTTTTTGAGCAACACATAGTCATAGTCATGGGATAAAACGAAAGAAAACAACAATATTTTATGTATGTAACAAAATATCTACAAATAAAAAAAAGGCATTATACATTGGTTGGTACATCAGCTAGATCATCAGAATATAAGATAAGATTCTGTATAATCGATTCGATTTATTACTTTTTGTTGTTTTCTCTGGTAAATTGTGATCGTAGATTGCACATGATGTTGGTGGTAATGCATTTACATCACATCACATGAATTCTATTCTCCTTGGTGCATCACCTCTTACATAAGTACATGCTGAAATACGTATGGTACACCGTATATTCCGGAATTATGGGCCGTATAAATCTATAGATTCCATGCTTACAGGTTTGACTGATCAAAGTATAGTTGCTTTACGACAACGATAACATTTAAAGGCGAATAAAATTGATACACAAATTTTGTAAGCAAATATGAAGTTTGAAGATTTTCTAATCGCTATTTGAAAGTGTAAACACAACAAACCAACATAACAAATCCATACATTACATTAATATATCAAATGAATGAAGATAACTAAATGGGATCAAAATGAATAGCCAATCATTTATTTATATAAATGGAAATTCCAAGTTTCTTAATATTATATATATACTTAATACAATCAGGAGAGTTGCGGGCTACAATTATCTTTATCCCAACCCTTTCTTTTTGAAGCCGCTTCAACCTCTCTACATAACTGAACAAGACTTAACACACCAAAAACAAAGTCTGAATGTTTAAAAACAGAAGCCTAACTTCCAAACCAAGCAACCCCACTACTTTCCCTGAGAAAATAAGGGAAAAATAGTAGAACCCCAATTCCAAATAGTAACTAATTGTAAAGGACACGTAAATATATATATTAGAAATAAAATTTCAAATATATCTTCCGCATATTATTGTTTATCTTCAAGAAATCAGACACGGAAGTTCTTGCCGGAGAAAGTCTGACCAAATTGCCAGTTACTTGGAACGATGTTGTTGGATGTGGAGCTTCGGCCATCAGAGGTTTTAACTCGGAAAGAAAGAGATTGGCCGACGAGAATTGCGTTTGATTGCCAGTTTTGTCCCCAATTGCGGCTAAGACCTAACCAACCTGTGTTGCTTCCTTTAACACTAACCATCTGGACGTTTCCGGCTCCGGCTACGTTAGTGACTAGCACCAAGTTGAAGTACTTTGATCCATTGATCGTGAATCTCATACCTCCCTTCTTCTTACATGGAACCCTGCAACACCACCAAAAAATACGTTACCATAATTAATTAGTCTGAAACTGCAGCTCCCTGAAAATTTGATCTTTTGGTTATGTTTACGTCGATATTATATTAAAAAAAATTAATAAATTAGATAGAATATTATAATAATTTAGTAACGTCATGAAAGGGAGTGAGTCTATATACTCTATAGTAGTATGTTTTTAATGACCAGAGTCGGTTTTGGGTTATGTCGATGACCCGGCAAAAGTATGGGGTGAAGTGAAGAAGTGTCGGATCTTAGCTGACTCCAATGCAAATAAAAAATGTCTCCGAATCTTATGGATAGAGACGTGTAAATAATCGCCCTCGGGATTTTACCCGGACGCATTATTTCTCACGTTCTTTTTATAATTAAAGAGAGATAAAAAAAACAGAGTGGACTAAGATTTTTACCTGCGGTAAGAAACGGGGACGATACCGGCCCTATACTTAGCGATGGTTAGAAACATAGGCATGGCGAGATCAAAATGTTCACGAGGAGGGTTACACCAACCACCATTGTCGCTAGCTTGAGCGAAGTTAGGTGGACAAAAGTTAGTGGCGGTGATAAGGATTGATGGGTTTCCAGGAAGACACCACCCTGGATCATTGACACACTTGAGCTCAAAGCAAGCGCCACAGCTCAAACCATTGTTGAACAAGGCCGTGCTTAAAGCCGCCGTGTTCACACCGTAACCTTGGCTATATAAATTCCCGTACCCACACGCACCACCTACAACAATACAAACCGCTTAGTTAAGTGTCTATTTAGTGCATAGTGTGTGTTCTTAAATAAAAATTTATACAGAATATGATAGAAGCTGAAGTTAAACACATTTAATTACATAATCATTGGACATTTTACAAGTTAATGAAAAACACAGAGGGGGTGAGAGAGAGAGATAGTGTACCCATAGTGCCTGAAGCGTCAGCTTCGCCGTAGAAGGTGGCATGAGCGTTGACCCATGGTCCTCCGGTGTAAACTCCGGGGATTTTGGCGTTCACTGTGGTCGCCGTCAGAGCAGCAAACACCATCACCGCCATTAGGGTCATTGCTTTGGCCGCCATTTTTTTATTCAGTACGAAAAAGTTTTTTAGAAGAGGGAGAAAGAGAAGAATTGTGTGAGGGACGAGGAAGGTAGGAATGCTACTTATGGAGGGAGAGATCGAAGAGGCTTCAAAAGAGTTTACGGCTTTATTTTATTATGATTTTTTAACATCATTTTATAAAGTATTTTGGTTTTTCTTATTTTTTCCTCATGATCTAATTAATATTTCTATTATATTCCACCGAATTCAAAAGAGAAAATTTTCCATCCGAAACAATTATTGACTGGTTATTTTTGGAGTAAAATTATTGACTGGTTATAGTAAGTAAAAAAAAAATACTGTTGAGCTGTTTTATACAAAAAATAAATTTGATTTTTCCATTTTTGTTTGAGTCTCTCTACTTATTATATCCCGATTTAGTAACTCTGCATGCTTATTTCATCATTTATAAAAAATTGGTTAATAATGCTTCTTTAAGAGAAAAGATTCGCTGTGGAAAAATATAGATTGAGTTTATGATATATAAATTTTATCTGAAAAGTCTGTACTTGTAAATTAAGAAAATTATAGGGTTGCAAAAGGTTATTTATGATAAAACTAAATAATCAACATTTGGTACTTATTCTTCAAGAAAGTGCAATGAGAATAACAGAACACTTGTATCTGACTTTCTGTAAAGCAATAAAAAGGAAAACCTTCTGAGCTTTTTCCTTATCAAGACTTTTTATCTTATTTTCTTTGTTTTTTTTTGGGTAAAATTATTTTATTTGTTTTTGTTTAAGTTGAATAAAATTGGATTTAATTAAGTCTATTAACCAAAACAGAATAGCTAAAGAGATATATGGAAAACATCTAGAGAATTGCTTGAATAATTCATTATTAGAAAATCCTTTTCTAAAGTATAAATCCATCGTAAAAAGCCGTAAATATGAATATAACATGTTTTTTTATCAGTTGTAATTGAGCTAAATAAGCCAAAAGGATAGCAAACGCACGTGGTCCACACATGGGCATCTCATGCATTTTCCTTTGGTCAATTTGCGAGTTGTGCCAATTGGAAATCACACATGAACTCATATATCACATGCGATCTAATTCACTGCAATAATTTTCGCGATCAATAGTCATATGAAATTGATGAACTATTGAACAAAGATAAATGGTTACAAATATTTGATAATTGGAATGAATTCCCTTTCTCCCGTCTTTCTCATATTAGTGAGAACACAAGTTACAATCAACTTTAATTATTGAAACTCTTATACAATTGCTAATTAAATATCATAAGATTTTGTTGTTGGACTATAAATGAGACTAGAGTGTCTGTATGAGTACACGGAGAATACGGTATCGCATTTAACAGGACCGTGTGTCGATGCAGTTGGGACTCAACTGATTGCGGGGGCCATAATCACGTTTTACCACACACATAGCGACGCATATGTTCATTCTTAAGTGAACGCATTTGAGTGGCTACGTTAGAAAAACACATGAATAAATGTGTTTGAATGATCGTAAAGAAAATGAATGAATGAATTTAATACTAGATTGTAACGAGAAATATGTATGTTTTTTCATATGTAATGTATAATGTAACTCATTCCGATACAAATATGGATAAACAATGATGTAAAAAAATGGATAAAGAAGAAAATACAGGATCACATCATATAATATATGCTAAAAGTTTTAAACGTACAGTATATTGTCAATCAAAATTATTTCTAGCAACCCAGGAGATATCTTCATATTGTATATATAAATCATAGTTATAGACAAAAATTTAAAATATTCGACCACTATATCCATGTGGCTCCATTTATTGCCAATTTAAAATTATTTAATAGCATAAATAACTGATCTTAAGGTATGTAAGTCATGAGGATTCGGTTTTAGGTTCGGTTCTTTTGGTATTTCGATTTTTCGATTCTAGAGATTTATATGATTCGTTTGGGTATTTATTTTTTTTGGTTTGGTTCGTTTTGTTTTGTTATTTTGGTTTTTGGTTTGGTTTAGGTAACAAAGTTGAAAACCAACTTATATCAAGGTAATTTCTAATCCTGTTCAATTCCGATTTTCAACTAATTCATGTTAAAAAGTAAAAAAAAATGTTTTGGGATTTAATATCAGATTTTTTTTTGAATTTTCAGATAAATTTAAAAAAAAAGTTTTGGGATTTAATATCAGATTTGTTTTTGAATTTTCAGATAAATTTTGGATAATTCAGATAAATTTAAATATTTTGGATAAAATATATATAGTAATTCAATTTGGGGGTATTTAGACTTTTAAATAATAATTTAAAATTACTTGATTATCTTAGAACTACTTATAGTCAATATTTATAAAATATATAAATTATATCATAAGAATTCATGTATTTATTGGATTCTCAGTTTGGTTCAGTTCCAGTTTGATTCCGAATTTCAAATTTAAGAATGATTTAATTATTAGAACTCCATCAAACAATTGCCAATTTTGAATGATTTAATTTTTATTTCCAAATAAAATTTAACATTTTATTAAAACTATATTGAAGTATTTGTATTTTTTGTTTAATAACTCCAAAGAGTATCTCATGGATAAGGATACTTTAAGAGTTTCGATATTTAAATTTATTTCTTCTAGCTACATTACTTAACACCATAAATGTTTTCACACTCTTGTTGTGTTTTCATCGCTTCAACAAATTGTATTCTAAAATCTAAATACATTGTGCATTGTTTATACAACATATTGTCTTAGATAGTACGTAAGTAAATTAATTAAACGAACAAGAAGTCAATAAACGTCAGAGATTTATTTGAAGTAAAATTTCAAGAAGCACATGTGACTGTTTCCAAGAATGTTCACCTAGAACTAATCATTTATGGCATTATACGACAATTCATAAATTTGTATTTTTTTTGATAAAATGTATGGTAGTAATAAATTGTTACTACATGTGATTTAATATTTTATGGATGTTGTTAATTACTCCCTCTGTTTCATTGTAAGTGTCACTCTACAGCTGTGCACACGGATTAAGGAAATAATTAATTTTACATATTTCCTATATAAAAATACAGTTACCCATACACCTAACCCTATTTTAACCAATAGAAAAACAAATTACATAATAAAATTAATAAATTTTGCATTGAAAATCGAAAACGACACTTATTTTGTAACGCAAAAAATTCTCTACAACGACACTTAATATGAAACGGAGGGAGTATTAATCAAGTAGTTTCATGAGAAATTAGTAAAGATTAATGCATGTGCATTTAATATTTGCTAGAGTTGTTTTAGAAGCAAACAAACACTTAGATCGCACTTCGTCCGTACCACTTGACATAGAGCACTAGTTTAATGCTACCCAATGTATAACCGAAACCGCCCTCTCTCACAATACATTTTCTTGTATTATTAATTCCTAGTTGAGATAAGTATTTCATTAAATCTTATGGTAGCCTTTACTTATTTCATCTCATAATAAACATCGTTTGAACATTTTTAGTTTGTGTTAAAAAAAAGAAGAAGAACATTTTAGTTATGTGTTTGAAAAATGTTATTTTATATACTTCTAACTAAGAAATGACATGTTCTTCCTATTTGAAGAAACATGTCTATAAGTTTATATATAATTATTTTATCAACTAATCGGTGACCGGTTCTTTTAATAGTTATGAAACATAATGTAGGATAGTAACATGAAATATTCATTAAAGTGATGGCGTACATTTTCGGCATTTGACTTTTTTCATGTTCCGCTGCAACTTAACAGCGTACAAGTTCTTATTTTCTGTTTTTATTATGATTTAAAATAGAGTTAAATGGGTCAATATACCACTTTGGTGAGGAAACAAAGAAAATATCCAAAACAAAGATGAAAGGTTTGGGTCCGTACCTTTTTACGTGCCTCTTATCCGTATTGTTCCTACAGTGTTGAAACCTGCGACGAATAGGTGAAAGTAACGATTCGGCGAGATCTCCAGAAGTACAAGATATCGATACTAGTCTGTCATAGCTTTGTGGCTACTATTTTGTAGGTGGTTAGTGGAGAACGATGAAAGATCCAAAGGATAAAACGATGGATCGAGAGATTGGGGGTTTTTCGATTTTGCCGAGATTTTTGAGAGTTTTGTTGCTCTGTATTTAATGGAGGGCAGATGAACATAAATGTGAACAAGATTCGGTAGAGAGAGAACGAAACCTGTTAGAGTGACATAGCTTCAGTGGCAGAGATCGTTTAATAGTAGTCGTTATCACTTTTCTTCGGAGGTATGTTTTATGTTCATTTCAGATAGAGCATTCAATTTCTTAGATGTAAACAGTTAGAAATACGGGATATATAAAGTGGAAAGGTTAACATTTATGGGGATGTTGAACTGTTCATGTCAATCAGGATTGATCTACCTTCAACAAGGCTGATGGTGACTATTGGTAATGATGTGGTTGCACGCTATCTGTTCCAAAGGCGCGAGGATTACACTATTATTGGTTCTTCAAAAGGAATGGTAGTCCCCAAGGGAAGGTCTTACAGTGTTAATACCGAGTGTAACATGTCGGGACAGAACCTAACTGCTAATGTAGGTGTTGGGGGGGATTGCTGAGGAGATTGCGTCCTGGTCAGATATGGTGAACCAGTGGGTTCTGAATTCAAGCTAGCAGTTTCTTACAAACGTGTGCGTTGAGGGAGATGTGCCTTTTGGAGATATGGCCACTTTAAGAAAAAAAAGAGGTGATGGTGGTGTTTCGATGGGGACAAGCGATGGTTCGGAGTCATCGAGAGAGTCATCGGATGAGACAGTAGAGGGGGTGAATCCTTCGTTTGAGGGGGGCGTAATACGTTTGGGTGACGAACATGAGGTGGCCTCAGTAGCTCCTCGCACAGCCTTGGTCATTGGTAAGTGTTATTTTTTTTAGTTAAGTGTTAACCAATGATGATAGCGGTTACTACATACACTTAACATCGCGTACACATTATACCTCTATTATGGTAGGGTAGTGTGGAGTACTGATATTAGCGGTTACATCTTACACTTAACATCGGATACACAATTTCTTGTTGCAGTCGAGCCACAACCCACACCAAGGGCAGCTCCATTGCTTGAGTATCTTAGGAAAGGGAAAGAGAAGGTGGTTAATGAAGAAATCGAGGAGAAAAAGGGCAGGAATGGGTATGATCGTGTCAGACCGCTAAATCGAATCCTAACTTCCCTGATCCTATTCCAGTTGCAGACACAACTGAAGAATGTACTGATAACGATAAATTTTACAGACTTCCCGTTGTTGTTAGCAGTTAATGTGTATTGCTAACTATGCGATTTGTTTTTGGTAGACACAGAGGACGATGGTGAAAATCATTTGTATGTTGGTCAGGTTTTCATTGACAGAACGGCTTTCAAGACTCACATTTCTCTCTACGCTTTGGCAAACAAGTTCAGTTTCTTATGCCGTCGCTCAGAGCCTACTAAAATGATTCTGGTATGTCGAGGGAGTGAGTGTAGGTGGAGAGTGTCAGCGTCCAAACTGCAGGGGAGCCCTCATTTCGAAATCAAGAGACTGGATGAGGGACATTGGATCTGTCTAAGAATCGAAGTTCTTATATATCTTGCAAGCAACTTACTAAAACATCTGTAGCATTATAATCTTGATTATCTGAATAGCAACCTTGAATCTAACTACTTTCTTTTATTGTTTCAAACCAAAACCTATTCTCTTGAGCAACTCATCATTGCTCACAAACTACTATTTACTATTTTATACTGAATCAACCTAGCATAATCATTTAGGATTACATCTTTTGTGTTCCTCAGTTCCCTGTGGATTCGATCCCTAAGTACTACAACTGAACCTCTTATTTGAGAGAGTAATTCACTCCTTAGAGTTAAATATTTGAGTGATATCAAGCATGCTTAAGAAAAAACATCTCGCCTACCTTGTCTCAAGAGCAGCTCGAGCTTATCATGTGTGTGACTTCTACAAGCATTTCAACGAGATTAAGATGATTGACATCAACTGCGCTGATTATCTAATCAGAATCGGGTTCGAGCACTGGGCAAGATCTCACTCTTCAGGAATGCGTTACAACATCATGACAAGCAATGTCGCAGAGTCGCTTAATAATGCCCTGGCTGAGGCAAGGGATTATCCCATTGTAGCGCTAGTAGATTACATAAGGAGTATGCTTATGAGGTGGTTCTCAGTGCGACGTGAGTCCTCCACCGCTTGTGGTGGATTTGTAACACCCAAGATAGAGGATGTCCTGTCACGTAACTTTGGTGATTCAACTGGGTTTTTGGTGCGCAATATCAGCAAAGCAGAGTTTGAGGCGCGTGGAAAGGAAGTAGATCAATACATAGTCGACCTTGAGAAAAAACTTGTAGCTGTCTGGAGTTTGATATGCTCAGTATACCTTGTGGACATGATGTGGCTGCTGCAATACATTCAAAACGTAGGGTTGATTCTCTGGTTGGTGAGAAACTATCTAGGAAAAATTGGGCTGCTGCGTACTCTATGACGGTTAACCCTGCTGGAGATGAGATGGCGGCAACGCATGAATATGATACGCTTGCCTCTCTCCAGCTGGCTCCACCGATAACAAGGCGTCCTCCAGGTAGGCCAAATAAGACAAGAATATTATCAAGGGGTGAATTCAGGGTATCTTACAAAGTTATCTCAATACTTCAAATGTTAGATGTTAGTGGTTTAAAATAATTGTTATTTTGATAGGTTAACTTGATGTTATTGTTAATGCAGTGTGGTGCAATGGGTCGCAAGATACTCACATGCAGGAGGTGTGGTGGGAAGGATCACAACCGTGCCACCTGCAAGATGCCAATATGAAGGGGATGGGTTTGAAGGAGGTTAGGGGTGTCATATTTTAGTAAGTCTTTTGGTATACGTAGGATGTGGGGCGACCAGTTTTCTTGTATAATTTGATAGTAGTCCCAAGAATCGTGTCATGTTTGTAATATGTAGTTTAGGACATCGGTAATGTATCGGCTAAGACCCCCTTTTGTAATGGAATCCTATGTTATAAAATTATCAATGAACTTTAAGTCTATTAAAGTTGTTAATTATTGGAGTTGGTTGACTTGTTAACATAAGTAATTATATGTTTACTCTAAGGAATTTAGCCTTAACATTTGTTTTGAGTTTAGCCCTTATGCTAATTTTGGATGAAAAAGAGTTCGATTGGGATTGTATTGGACCTGAGACGTATCAAAAATTTATAATTCTTTATGAAAAATGGAGTCTACATAAATCATTCTCAATTATTTTACGAGGTAAGTTCATTGGTTGGATCTGGGACTCAGAAAAATTTGGGAATCATTATGAAGAGGAAAGTCTAATTAAATAATTAGTGACTATCTAATTCGGTAACGCCAACGAAGAAAACTTACATGTAAAAGATTAGCGACTACCTAATTCGGTAACGTCACCTGTGAAGAATGTTTCTGTTAACATTAGCGTGTACATAATTATGTGTTGAATAATTAGCAACTACACCATTAGGTAACTATATCATCATCATCCAAGAAAAGCACATTGCTAAGTTTTGTAAAGATCTCAGGCAAGTAGCCGATGAAGTATAGACAAACAGTTCGGACTCCTTACGTTGGCATTGGTTACGGTACAATAAAGATAATTAGAATAATTAACGCCTACCTAATTAGGTAACGCCACACATTAAACTTATTTGTTAAGATTCTTAGAGCACGTGTTACCTCGTTATCTGAGCAATGTTAGCCCTTAATAAACATGTTACCCGATACCCCCTTAACACCTTGTACCAACATCTTTCCGATCGATGTTTTTTAGCGGCTAAGTTAATAACTAGGCCTGTGTATAAAACAGTAACGGAAAAAGGCAAATTGTTCGCTAATACATGATCCTTAAAATAGTGTCTTGGTTAAACATCAAAGATATTGTCAAATGAGGAACAAAATGCAAACATAGAGCTAAAGCAGCAAGAGAGTTAAAGTAGAATTTTAAGATGTTCACGGGGGGCAGATGTCGCGATACACCAGAATAGACATGTGTTTTGCTCGAGTAGCAAGAGACTCTTTCTTTATCTCATGGCAACCATACCCGTTAGTTAGAGCATGTGTCTGGATGAGAAGAACAGTAGTAGTGGCGGCATCAGTAGGATTGGAGTTCTGAGGAACATCTTTAACCCTTGCTATCTGATAGGGTTTGCGTAGGTTTGGGTCTGAGTTTCAAATGGCAGAGTTCAAGAGGTGAGGGACAACAATGGTAGTGGGGTTATCCTTCTTCATCATACTCTCGGTGTGGTGACCATGATTGCAGTTAAGTAGTTCAACGGTGGAGCCTTGTAAGTCCAGATATACGCCAATCCAGTGATGTTTGTCAACGCAGAATGGGAAGTAGATCCGATCATAAACATCTCCCCCGTCGGTGCCGGCTAGGAAGTGCTTCAGAATAGCGTCATCATATTTGAGCTTTATACGGTCTTTCAAGGCAGTCTTGACAAGCCTCACATGTTGTTTCATCAGCATAGCAGGGAATTTGGTGTCATAAAACGATATCTTGGAGGTGTGGGTTCTCTTTCTATTACATTCAAGCACGATGTAATACATAAGTGCATCCATAATCTGGGGGGTTACAAAATTAGAGTACAAAGATATGTTAGCACGTAACAACGTAACAAAATCTAATTATGGAACCTAATAAACTTACCAAGCGAATGGTATTGTTAGCTGCTAACCTTAAAAGTGACACGTTAAGCATCGCGAACATGTTGCTATCCTATTAAGTGACTGCTAAAATTCTAAAGTATATCATAGGACATGTACCTTAGGTTTCATCTGCTGAGTACGGTCCACAATATCCTCCAACTCGTTTGACCTTACATATATTCCATTTCCATTAGTGTAAACTCTGAATAAGACAAATATTGGCTATATGTTATATGGGAAACGATTTGTGGACTGTGTGGTTGAGAATCTTACTTGTTCTGGCTAGCAGCCGCTCTCATAGAACTGTAGATCTGGTCAATGTTGTTGGCTGTAGTCTTTGGTGGTCCTTCCACTCTAAACATTTTAATCTTAGGGTCGCACTGGTAATCTTTGAACGAGGGGGGAAGAATCCTTGCCCTTTTGCTCTTCCTTGTCTCCACGAGTACATTGTTTGCATGTGGAACAGAGCCGGTGCGTGGTAGTATCTCAGTACGTATAACCTCTTCCTACGAGAGTCCGAGTGAGAAGGTCGGTATTTCAATCAGAGAAAAAAGGAATTCAATCTGAGAACACAAGCTCCAGTCACTTTGATAATCTACTGTTGGTAAATAACAAGGTATAGTAGGTAGTCTAAAAAGAGAGAATTGAGATGACTAACCTCCTCTTCTGATAGACAACCTTCTTCATCCAGAGTAGTTAGTTCGTGGTGTGTGTAGCATGTCTTCTGAGCACCAAGAGGGGTACTGAGGTCTGTGTCAGAGGAATTGGCAGCCACCTCTCCCACGTTCTTTGTGGGTTCAGCGTCAGATTCTTCTCTATTGGGTGGGTATGTGATGCTATCAGCAGCAATATCCTACAAAAGGTGTATGTATTTAACATGTTTTTGACAGGTAAGATAAAACTTTACAGGTAAGATGGAACATTACCTTGTTCTGGTCATTCGTACCGTCGACCGCCGTAATAGCCATATCAATGACGTTATGCTCTTGTTGCTGGTCAGATTCAGCCTGTAAACAAACTGAAAATGGTAAACATGTTTTTTTTACTACAACACTAACGAAGGAAATTCAGACTTACTTTGTTGTGATCATTCATACCCGCAACATCTGTAATCACCATATTAATAGCGTTGTCAACTAGTTGCTGGTCAGATTCATCCTCTACTGCCACTTCTTGGTTAGTGTTTTGGGGATCAATTTGCTGAGGTGAGAGTTGATGACTAGCAACATTAGGACGTGGTAATGGTGGTCTGCGCAAGGTGCAATCCCCAGACTTTTCACACACGTCTTCCATTCCACGCGTAATATCTTTCTCTCCGGCAATGTTGACATTGAACTTGCCGAGATGACCAATAATACGCTCAATGACTTCTACCTGCATGTCCAAAAGTTCAGCTTTAACCACTTTGATTAGTCTCTCCTCCAATCAGACTCCTTCCTTGGACACAGCATCGTCGATTTTTTGGGGTACCATACGTCCAACAACGTTAGCCATGTCTGAATGGCTCTCCCTTTCCCCAAAATCGACTTGAGGTACTTCTGCGTGGATCTCCCTTTCTTTCTTATATTTGCCATCTTTTTCTTTTGATTTTCTCTCAGTTCTCTTGCGGGCTAG